TTTGTTTGTTTGTTTGTTTGTTTGTTTGTTTGTTTGTTTGTTTGTTTGTTTGTTTGTTTGTTTGTTTGTTTGTTTGTTTGTTTGTTTGTTTGTTTGTTTGTTTGTTTGTTTGTTTGTTTGTTTGTTTCTGCTTTTTAGTTTGTTAGGGCAATCAATTTCAGAGCTTGCTTTGTATTTTTGGCAATCACCAAACTCATTGAACTCAAGAAAACTCAAGTTCGCTAAAAAACTCAAGAAAACTCAAGTTCACTTACAAACTCACCTGCGGGTGAGCTTTTTGATTTCTGCCTACCCGTGTCCCACAAAAGACTGAGAACAAACTTAGGCACAGGAGCAATAGACAGATTGCTAAAGAGAATGAGCTTTTGGAGAACTACTCCCCTAGTCAGAACGTGGTTGCCATGCTGACATCAGAAGAGAAGGTGTGTACTGGATACAAACAACTTCTGCTGCAGTCTTGATAAGAAATGTACTTGTCAGGTTGTTGCCATATCATTGCTACATCATTGTTGGCTTGTAGCATAGGTGGGCTTGTAGCATAGGTAATAGATGGCAAGATTAAGTTTGACAAGTTTACTGTAGACATGCTGAGTAAGAGTGTGTTTGTAGAAGTACTCATGTGGTGTCAGCCATTGCTACTATGCACAAGCGATTCCAACAATTTATGTAGGCTTTACAATGTTGTGATACATGGAATCTGTAGCAACAAATGAACAATGATTTTGCCAAAATTACAGTTTTTAATGTACCAATCTTGTAGCACACCCCTGTGGTTTTTAAAAACATGTTTATGGTAGGAAGCCTCATAGAATAGACAGCTCAGTTTGTCCTACCAGAAAAGAATCAGTAGAAATTGCCCCAATCTGTTTTGATTGGCTTTTCATTTTCTAATTGTGGCAAATGAGAGCTGTGTCATGACTTCAGAATGCTGAGTCATACAAAATGTGACAGACAGGCCAGGTCGATTGCACAACACAAAAACTTGCAATTCACAATTATACTGTCTGAAAGCAGAAGCGGAGTGGGATTTTATCTTGCTACTGCACTGCTCTAAACAACAATGTTTCCAATCGGAGAGGAATTATTCTGCTGCTCTTTACTGTATTTTATTTGGTTTTATTTCTACCTGGCTGGTTTAGTCATTGGGGGCAAGCCAAGGGTATTGATAGTATCTGCGTCTAGCTGGTCTTGAAATCCATGAATGAAAGGCTTTGTCATTTGAGAAGTTTTAATTCGTGATGATGCTGTGCCTATTGATTAGCAACGTAGTAGATACAGTACGGGAGTATTATCATGCAGCAGTTCAATTTGGCTTCCTCCATACAAATTTGGCATAACGGAAATTTATGGAAGTTCGAACCCAGCAAACATACTTTTAAATGTAACAATAAACGAACATTTCATGGTTTGATCCTAATGAAGCTGAAAATTAGTTGTCTGAGGAAAATGAAAACAAATGTTCAAGGATGTGCTACTAGGTAATTTTTGAACGAATTCCAATTGTTTGTTTGTTCAATTTGTATCTAGAAGGATAGCATACTAAGGCATCAAGCAACAATGTCAAGCAAAATGCATGCTAACAATTCACAGCAAATGATATCAAAATGAAATGAATCAATAAATGATACATACATGGATGGTGTTTTTCTAAGCAAGAAGAAAGTGTCTCACAGCTTCTTGCTTTTCCTGGATTGTACTACTAATGTGAAATTCATGGAAACAGTGAAGCACGGTATGATTTTGCTAAACCCTAGATTAGTAGTCACATGATAGCAACATTAGACCATCAAGTACCGAAGAGGATGACATAAAATAGCTTATTGTAAGAAGAAATCGTTTAGGGCAAGGTGATTTTTCCAAACGATTTTTCCAAACGATTTTTCCAAACGATTTTTCCAAACGGTTTAACATTTGTTGTGTAGATTTCCTACGGCGCGTTCGTAGAAAAAATTGACTATTTGGCCCGCGCTTTAAAGTACCATGCGCCCGTGGGGTTTTACATTCGGTCTGTAGATTTCCAACGGCGCGTTCGTACCATGGAAAAACTTTCTGAAATTGGTTAAAAACCATTGAAAATTCTCCTATGCAGATCCCCAAAAAAATTCAACCAAGTACAATTCTTCCTGGGGCAAGCTCCCCAATTGGTGTATTGTGTGGCAATTGCGGTGCTGTAGTTTCTACCTCTACCACCATCGGCCGAGGCTGTGTGATCGGAGCCCAATCTGCTATTGGCAACTCAGCAACAAAGTGTGACTGCAGGTTGGGTCACTACATCACCGTAGAACCCGCAACCGTTGTGGAAGCTGAAGAAATCATGATGAGTGAAAAAGATCCCGAAACTGGATCTCTACCAACGCACAGTTTTAAAAAAGTAGCATGGTGCAATCGGAAAAAATTCTCTTTGGAACGTTACTATAAATTTCTGCAACCTAGTTTGGAAACAGGGCATCTTACCAATGATGGACCTTTGCAACGGGTTTTGAAGGAGAAGGTTGCTAATCTGGTTCGTTCTAGTCGAACAGTGAATCTTACCAGCAATGGTACAAGTGCGCTTCATGCCCTGGTTGCTGGGCATGAGCTCCGAAGGGGACGTCACCTCAAATGGGTGACGCAAGCGTTCACTTTCCCCTCATCTATCCAGGGCCCTCTTGCAGATGCGCTTGTCTGTGATATTGATGCCAAGTATCGAGGACCGTGCATGAAATTCTTACAGCATCACGCCGAAGAGTATGACGGCGTCATTGTGACGAACGTCTTTGGACTACAAGCTGAGATTCTTGTTTATGAGCAGTTTTGCATCGCTTCAAATAAGCTACTCATTTTTGATAACGCTGCCACTCCCCTTGGTTTCACTGATGACGGTCGTTCCATTCATGATATCGGAGATGGTTCTTTTATTAGCTTTCACGAAACCAAACCCTATGGACGAGGCGAAGGAGGGGCAGTTTTTGCATCAAGAGAAATGTCGCCGTTTGTTCACAAGGCAATGAATTTTGGATTCGATATTCCAAATCAAATCCGTATTCCAAATCGCTATTCCAGTAACTGGAGAATGTCAGATTTCGCTGCAGCTGCCATATGTGATCATTTGGACACGGTCGTAAATGACAAATGGGAAGAAAAACTGAACGCATTTGCCAGTTTTATTGTTCAAGAACTGGACAAGCGAGGGTATAGCATGGCTTTCCCTGTGCGTTTTCCAACCATTCTCTCTGGCGTGTTCGTAGATCTGAAGCAGCAACACGGATCCGCCGTGAGTCGCCTTTTTAATGCTAACGGTTTTGAGGCAAAACAATACTACTGCCCTTTAGTGGATCGGACTAAGGCCCCTGAAGCGTGGAAGCTGTTTGATCGAACAGTTTTATTGCCATTCCATGAAGGCATATCTTCTGAAGCTATGCTTAATATGCTGGATCATCTGCCTAAGATGAAGAAATAGCAATAACCAGTAGCTTAAATTAGCAGCTTGAAAAAACTTGAACAAGACGCTTATTCTTATTGATAGGTAGCATCTGAAGAAAGAGAACAGCAACCAGGAGAAACTAATTGGAACCTGGTATAAAATGGACAGAAGTCACTGGACATCAATTTTGAGCACAGTCTTACTCCCTCCCTGGGGCTGCGGATTATACATACTGCAGCATTGAACACTAATAATATACCCATCAAAACAGCATGGATTCAGGCTTACTTTCTATATTATCTAGACCTGGATAGTCATGCACAGTATTTGATACAGTTCAATTTGATTGTTGTTTTCATTGTGATCCATCACTTTTTTTTCCGATCTGCCAATGAGCGTCATTACACGCTATGAGAATGAATAGATGAAATGAATAGATGATGCATTATTCCAATCCGATGGATGTAGTGGTGGTGATGATCTAGGAGTCGCCAGAGACTGCACTTTGTAAGACCACGGGAAATACCATCCCTTCCAATGAGATCCATTCATCCAAACCACCAAAAGGATGGATCGGGTTGCCCTCTGCAAACACTTCTGGAAACAGAAGCTTTGGATTCAACAAGGATAGCAGAGAACGCTCTTCCACTTCATCCGTGTTACTGGGTTATGATGGTGATATCAAGACATTTGGCTACAACTGTGAATCCAAAACACAAATAGATCAATCAATTAGATAAAAGAACTGAAAGCTTTAGTCGAGACCCTTGATTACTATTATCTTTCCCCTCTCCTTCTTCTTACTGCTAGCATTGAACTAGCAACTTTCATGCATATTGTTCATTAGCTGGGGAAGACATGCCAAACATTTGTGATTGGCAGACTTTCTGATCTTGTTTGAAAGAGGTAAGGCTGGCTCCAGACTTGGTGGGAACCGTATAAGTGTTCAATGCTGTGGTATGTATGTTCAATGCTGTGGTATGTATTATCTGGAGGATACCAATTTTGACAAAATCCGATCATCAACTTCAGCAACAACTTTATTGCTCCATAAAAAAGAGAGACAACCACAAACCATCAATACTCAACAACGATGAAACATGCATTTACTATTTTTTCCAAGGTATTTTATACAAGAATGTTCTGCCATTAAAATTCTTTTGAACTTATGACTACAAAAACACATACCCCACCATTCTTTTGCAGCAAACTGAGGTGTTAGAAATAAGCAGACTGTGCTCTACTGTTAGTGCCTTTAGTGCTTAAAACAAACTATCTGCCATCTAAATTTGTATAACACTTCCACCATAGTAGTTCTCCTGTATTAGGTTTACTTTGAGTGAAATTGTTCCTATTTGATTAATGTTTGGCTTCAATTGATGATTCAATCACAAAAGTTGGTTAACAAAGTTTCCATCAGGGAAATCCCTTGTTTACAGAACTCAATCCAACTTCTACGAGGACTCTGCATTAGATACAGTACTTTGGGACATCTTGAATTATTTCCAACACCGATATTCCACTTGTATAGGGTCATTCCCTTTTTGTGTGGATATAGATTGTCTGACAGACTTGCGTCAAATCCCGACATAACGATCAAAAAGCGATCGTACGTGTCTTGAATAGTTTTTATTGAAACGTAAAAACTCATAATTTGTCATATCCCAACACACCCCTGCCATTGTGACAATCACCATTGGCAGCAATGGGACATGCTCTAATTCACTGTTTATTTTGTTTTGTATTTTCATTTGAACATATACATACTTGTCTGACCTATTCCTGTGGACCAAGAATCAGATCTCTGAACTTGCAAAATTTCTCACCTTGAAATGGCTTAGTCATGAAATTTGCAAAAGTATTGTCAGTTGGACAGTATTTGATCTTAACATTTCCTTTTTTTAACTTGATCTGTGATAAAGAAATAACGAATATTGATAGCTCTGCTTCTTTTGCCCGAACTCTTGCAACCATTCTCTTCCAGTAAAATTGCGCTTTTGTTATCCTGAACGCCATGTAGATATTGTAGGACTCCAACCTGTCTCAAGAATTGTTCCTTGAAATGCATCAAGTTTTCGGTTGTTCCTTGCTTCAGAGCAAAGAACTTTTGATTGGCTTCCAAAAAAATCCAAGAAGTCATACTCAGCATCAGCACTCTTCTTCATGAATCGTTCAATACTGTTTCAAGAGTTTGATTCGATCTTCAAGAGTAGTCATGAAATCGGCTCCACCTCGAAGCTTGATATCCATTGCCTTTGTCAAAAGCTTCAGCATGATATTTGAGTTGACAGTTCTCTTGTTTGTCTCGAAGTAGGCTGATCTTTGCATGCTCTCGTCGAGCTTTGCAAAATAGAGAATCTTGTTTTGGGCCATCTCTGTTTTTCTTGCAACAGCTTCAGTTTGAGTTGGAGCGTTCAATCTTGGAGCAATGCATTGAAGTCGATCGACGTTCCATCGCAAATTGATTTCACCATTTCTTTGGAACACTTCATTCCGGAAACTTGGATGTAATCAATCACTCTTTCTTTGGCATCTTCGTACGACAATAATTGACTATACAACACTTTCACAACAATAGTTCTCCTGTGTTAGGTATACTTTGAGTGAACTTGTTCCTATTTGATTAATGTTTGGCTTGAATTGATGATTCAATCACAAAAGTGAGTTCAACAATTTTCCCTTGGAAAATCCCTTGTTTACAGAACTTGATTCGACCTCTACGACAATTCTGTGTTGAACGCAGTACTTTGGGACATCTTGTATTATTCCGTACTGCATCGTACATAACACCGATATCCCATTTGTATAGGGTCGTCCCCTTTTTTGCGGATATAGATTGTCCGACAGACTTGCGTCCGGCATATTTGTGTCAAGTCCCAACATCAAGGTTCGATTGCATGTTTCAAAAACTTTGCATTTGAATAGTTTCTTTTTGGAATGTAAAAACTCATATTTCGCCATATCCGAACAGTTCCCACTCCTTGCAAACTTCAACCGGGAGTATTTGAAGCTCCACGGCTAGGAACCAGTTGCAGTTCCATTTCAAATGCCAAAACAAAAAAGGATTTGGGGTTGCATTGTTGCTAGGAGAGCACAATATGGTATCAGGTTGCAGATAGCCTCTGCCATTCATGCAAGGCAAGGAGCTACTTTTGGCAAGCTTGTAACCGCAGTTTGCAACAGCGCTCTATACAGCGACATGAGTTTTGCATTATGGGATGCCGCTCAAGTGGTAGTTCTATCAAGAACGAGATACTGTTCCGATGTCTTCTTTGTAGGAAGACAAGACAAAGTTGTTGCTCATCTTCTGTCTGTCCTGGAGATGACATCAAACTACATGGCACACATTACTTCCATAATGTAGCGCCTCTGCTCTCGTGACAACGCCTCTTCCATCATACCAGGGTGGCCAATTTTCCAACCATGTGACATTATTCTTGACTGTATACCTGTCGTATATCTTCTGGTTTCCACAAGGAGCTATGGATACCTTTATATAGGAGAGAAGGTGGATGTCCAAAGAAGACTGAATGATCATAACTTGGGCGGTGGTAGTGATTTTACGAACAATGAAAGACTGCTACCATGGGCTCATGGTTTTGTTTCCTGCAATAATTGCCAAAACTTTGAACATCGGTGGAAGCGACTAGGAATGGATTGGCAGAATGCAGCTACTTGTACATGTTCTCCTGTTGGAATGTTAAGAATTGCTCAAGAGATAACTGCAACCATGAATAGATACAGGTTGCAACAAAACCAAATACAGGTCCAGCAATGTGGTTCTTATGAACTCAAAATTTGTGATTCCTTCAGAATTATGGAACACACATAAATAAATATTTTTCGATAGTCATATTATAAAACACTTTGATCATCTAATCTAGGTTTAGTCATAAGTGGACCTTACCATCAGTGACTACATTTTGCCACTTCCATTCATCAAAGTCGGCTCCAAAAACGTACCACCAATGGTTTCTTTGCGGGGACGCCATGAATCCACCGCACACTTTTGCTATTGTGACTCATAACCCACAACAGACATGTCACTTCCTTGCCCACGTCCATGAGAACAGTTTCATGGGGACGGCCTTCTACCTTGTCGAACCTGACCTGACAAGTCTGAAGAGGAAAAGGAACTAGTTGAAAATACATTTTAGTTAATGAATATACGATGATGACATATGAATACATAGCCTTAATATTTACTTTACATCAACTCTTCTCAAACGCCATGCACACCTTTTTTCCACCTCACTAATTTTATTTCCAGCCTGCGCCTTTAGATTATCTACAATTGGAAAAGTTAAGCAGATTATATATAACCCTTTTTGATGACATCATCCCAATGTATCACCATGCCCTTAAATGGAAACATTGGCACCATCCTACAGGTAGCCCATACTAGCCCATTATCCTCGGAGACACAGCTTAACATCTTTTGTTGTCACAAATCTGCAATTCCAAAAAATGGACAGCAAATTCAAAATGGATGATCCGCAAGTCCAGTCTATGGTCTTCAAATTGCAAAAGTTGTGCCGGACAACAGCAGCGCCTGTATCTCCCAAAAAACGTCGCCAGGAAAAGAAACCGCACCCAGCACAAACAGCTCACTGACTACTCTACCCTAACAAAGACTAAAGGCCAAAGTCTGGTTAAAGATTTTTAACGGAGAATTTCCTTTGTTGAACAACTCATCAGAACCACCAATGGTTATTGCCGTGGTAGACATTGCCTTTGGAATGTTTACAGCTATCTACCTCAACAGATTTGGTCTTAAGCAAGAGGCAAACGTCTTTCCTATTCTCAAGGCCTTGGGACAAGTCAAAGACCCAAAGGAACCCCAACTCAGCAACACCGAGAGACTATTTGCTAAAGAAATTGGATTTTGTTCCGTTGCCCCCAGGAGAATCAGCAAGCGAATTAATGCTCCTGTTTTGAAGAACAATTCCAACTACAAAGAGACAACATTCATTGCCGCCCTTGTTGAAAATGATGGTTGTTAGAATAATGCAAAATGTGCTCTATCATGAGTGCCTTTAGCGCTCAGAACAAACTCTCTGTAATCTAAATTTGTAATCGACTATACAACACTTTCACAACAATAGTTCTCCTGTGTTAGGTATACTTTGAGTGAAATTGTTCCTACTTGACTAATGTTTGGCTTGAATTGATGATTCAATCACAAAAGTGAGTTCAACAATTTTCCCTTGGAAAATCCCTTGTTTACAGAACTTGATTCGACCTCTGCGACAATTCTGTGCTGAATGCAGTACTTTGGGACATTTTGTAATTATTCCCTACTGCATTCTTGTACACAACACCAATATCTCACTTGTATCGGGTCATTCCCTTTTTGTGTGGATATAGATTGTCCGACAGACTTGCGTCCTGCATGCTTGCATCGAATCCCGACATCACGATCAAAGTCCGATCGTACGTGTTGAAAACTTTGTATTTGAATAGTTTCTTTTTGGAACATAAAAACTCATATTTCGTCATATCCCAACACACTCCTGCCATTGTGACAATCACCATTGGCAGCAATGGAACATGCTCTCATTCACTGTTTATTTTGTTTTGTATTTTCATTTGAACATATACATACCTGTCTGACCTATTCCTGTGGACCAAGAATCAGATCCCTGAACTTGCAAAACTTCTCACCTTGCAATGGCTTAGTCATGAAATCTGCAATCATATTGTCAGTTGGACAGTATTTGATCTTAACATTTCCTTTTTTTAACTTGATCTGTGATAAAGAAATAACGAATATTGATAGCTTGGCTTCTTTTGCCCGCGCTCTTGCGACCATTCTCTTCCAGTAAAATTGCGCTTTTATTATCCTGATACAAGATATTCTTCTTGATCGGATATCCTTGCCAATCCATTAACAGCTTCGTCCATAGTATCATCGTGACAACATCGTCAACAGCAATCAGTTCTGTTTCCGTATTGCTTCTGCTGTTTAGCTTTTGTTTCTTCAACATCACTTGAGCTGCACCTCCTCCAAAGGACAGAGAGCCGCCAGTATGGCTCTTGAAATCTGGATGCACTGCAAATGATGCGTAGATCATCCATTTCATGACTTGTAGTGATTCTGCGGAAAGTGTCAGGTGATACAACAATGTACAAAACTGTCCTCAACAAATCACTTGAAGATCGTCAACATTGGCTGCACCTTGCCTCCCGTGAGAGAGCAACCAACCGTCGCTCTCTAGCCAGGCAACGCCAGATGATCTTTGACTTGGCATGACCCGCCAACCCAACATCAACTCGGCCAACCGGCGCAAGGCCATAAACAGTCAGATGTCTCGGCCATCTCTCTGCCCCTCTATGTTTCTCTCTCCCCCTGCCGAACACAGGACTAGGGAACTGCAGTCTGTCATGTAGATGGTAGCCACATTTTTCTGGAACACTGTGCCATTGGGACACTCTTGATCGTTACACCCATGGCAGTAGGGCGCAAGAACAATTGGCTTCCCACCTGCTACACACCCACCACCTTCAAAAAACTCAAAAAAAAATAAAAACAAGCCGTCTCAAGTGGCAAGATCGTTTCTACATGTACAAGGGTGCAATGTAATATCCGATAAGAGCAACTTCCTTGGGATTGGATGCCTCGAACTGGTTCAACAGTACTGGACTCACCTCCTTATGGTAAATGGCCATGACAGCCGATAACGGCAATCTAGAAACTTGAGATAGTTTTAATGTGATTAATGCATCAGTTATATATTGTTACACCATTGTTCCATGCCCTCGAATATAAATATTATTGTTACAACACTACAACATGAAAGCAGTAGGTACAATGGACGATAATGTAAATCAAAGGTATTCTTAGAAAGAGTGAGTTCATCATCATACCGACGGCCTTTGTCAGTGGCCAATTTGTCCTTACTACTCACAGACTCTATCAGTGCAATATCTTGTATGCAATAGCACAGTCACCTGTATTTGATCCCCTTGAACTGGGCTCCAACAATGGAATTCACTTCAGCAGTTTGACTAGTATGTCCACCCACCATATAGGTGTCCCCTCCTTTCCAGGGTCAATTGTTTTGTGAAGGCATCAGTGAGGTTTGACATCCCTGGTATCCATGATACATAAACCACTCCAGCAGCCACGTTCCATCTTTTTCAACTTTCGTTGCATTTGTCACCACACTCTCATTATCACAAAATATGTGTGTTGGTTCATCTTCCAAAGGGATTCCAAACATCCTCAACTTGAACCTCAAGTGTGCAATGGCTTCAAGGCAATCAACTCCAAACCAAGGATGCTGGTGCTGTGTTTTGCCTATTGCTTTGCCATAATATTGGAGCTCAATAGAGGAAAATCATATAGCCTGTATGTGACTTACAAATATTCTTGTTGGCACCATGAGAAGCATCCACCCATGCGGTACTCCCTACACTGTGTCCTCTTAGTTTGGGTACATTGTGTGGCATTTCAACTTTTGTGTCTTGATATTATGCTTAGAAAATCCTCTCTACAGGACCTTAAATTGGAGTAATCCAAGTTTAGTGCCCCCCAACCCTAACCCTAAAGTCAACTTTGGAAACGTATCCAAGAAAGCAAATATCCTGAATGCTTGTTCCGTGTGCCCTTCCCTTGGGGCTGCTTGATACTGGCTCAGTAGTGTGACTTCCAATAAGATGTTGACTCATCCAATCTCTGTTGCCCATCATAACATTCCAATCAACTCTTGCAAGTAGGTATGGTCCTTTTGTCCTAATTTGCTTGATCCGTCCATCTCTGGTTTGTAAGCGCTGGTCATTGGTGTTGGTGTTTTCTTGGGTTGTTTCCACTTCATGTTACCTTTCAAAGTCTCTTTGACATTCTTGACGGCTGCAACAACATAGCCATAACTAGACATTGTCCACATATCAACTCTGTCAAAAGAGTTCTATTGTAATCTGGCTCCTAGATAGCTCTCTAGAGGTTCAATCTTCCCTTTCTTGAATTCAAACACCCTTCCAATTCCTTCCATTACTTCTTTGGCTTTATTGACATACAGAGGATGTCATCAACGCAACAAAGGATGTATTTATAATATGCCTCCCCATCAGGCTTAACAGCTGCTCACATCCAGACATCAGGATTGGCAGTGGACAACAGAAGCCCAATTCCTCCACTCCGTCAGATGTAACCTGAATGCTGCTGATGATCCTTTGAGACCATATAACGCCCTTCTTACAATGAAAACTTTGCCTTCTTTGTCCCCAAATTTGGGTCCAGCTACCATCTAGCACTTTTTGATTGCTGGTGCAGTGAGGAAAGCGTGCTTGATATCTGTGCATTGCAAGTCTAATCTGTTTAGTGCTGCTATCAGGTATAGTATCCAGACCAAATCACAAGATACTACAGTGCTGTGGGTCAATGCTGCATGTGCTTCAGTCTGTTAGAAGTAAGCGATCCACTGCCGCCTGCAATCTACCTGTTCAATTGACTGCAATTTAGCTGTCCAGGCATTGTTGCCTTCTAAGTATGTGAATTTACAGTATGTAGAAGTATATAGATCTATCAGAGATCCTACTTTATCAACCAATTCACTCGTTGCTTGCAATATATTATAAAAAGTGAGAACAGTCTGTCAACTTTTGACTTTGACTCTTTCTTCTCCAGCTCAGTGGAAAATCTCAGAATTCTCTCTACGTCAGCCTGACATGCTGCAAGTTCAATCTGTTTATCCGTTCATCTTCCACAGTAGTCGAGACTTTGAGTAGTATCCAACTTTGGTTCTTGCTTGAATCTTGCTTTCTTACATCATCAACATGATGATTTCCACAGAAATAAATTGTCTTTTCTGACTTGCCACGCGCAATATTTTTAGTCGTATCAGTCTTCATTTCTAGTCGTATCAGTCGACATCATTTCTCTATCGTTCACCTGTATTCTCTTTTTCTCGTTTCTCCAAATATGTACTTTGAAAATCCTGATATATCCAACACACTCCTGCCGTTTTATTAACATAGTTGATGACAACGGAACATCAAAGGAAATTGCGTTGCTCCTAATCTTGTTCTCCTTGATTCAATGATCTGAAATCCAAGAACTTTTGTCCCTGTAGAGGTTTGCTCATGAAATCTCCCCACATCTGCTTTGCTTTCCCGCACTATCACTTCCATTCTTTTCCAATAGAATAGAACTCTTGTTATCCTGATATGGGATGTTCTCTTCAACAGGATAACCTTGTGCTTCCACAAACAATTTTGTCCACAATATCTGTGGCGCAGCATCATCAAAACCAATCAATTCGGCTTCTGTTGAACTTCGACTGTTCAACTTCTGCTTCTTCAAGATTATTTGCAATCCTCCCTCACCCATAGTCAATACACCTCCAGGAACGCACCACAACGTGCAACGCACGCAATTTAAATGTCCGTTAATAGTTAAAAATGGTTTTATTGGAAAACGTTAAGTGTCCGTTCCCATTTTAGCGCGGGCGCACTGTGGAAATCGGGCATGCCCTGTGCGTCAATCTGACGCAAAAACGGGCACGCCCCGCGTCAAATTAACGCAAATCTGCGTCAAATTGACACAAATTTGCGTCAAATTGACGCAAATGTTTGCGTCAAATTGACGCGCGACGCACAAAACTGCGTCAAATTGACGCAAGTTGCGTCAATCCCGCGTCAAACTCAAGAAAGTGCGTCAACCCGCGTCAAACAGATGCAGTTGCGTCAATCCCGCGTCAAACTCAAGGGAGACCAGAAACACAATGTTATAAGAGCACACTTTAGGTTCTGACATCAGTTACTTCATTATGCTATGGGCTATAGTTCTGGATTCGTTTATCAGGAGTACTTGGCTTGATATCCCAAAATTACACAGTTCCAAGCTCTAAACCAATTTGGATTGATTCCAGGACAGCAACTAGTACCGCAAGTGTATGCTTATCATAGTTATGGATCCAAATACCTTGCAATGATTGGAACTTTT